ACCCTACATATTACATAGAGCGCGAGTGATGCACTTTTTATAACACTCAGAGATAACACGACCAACGTTGAACCATTATTGTGCATCAGGGATGATATAGAAAAAATGATTCAACAGAAATGTACCAAATTGCTACTTTGTTAATACCATCATAATTTATGAAAATAGTTTCGTTAATATACATCGTTCTAAATATGATTGAAGCAATAAGTTATTTTTATTGACTGTTTATTAAAATATTTTTATTACAAGCTTTTATACAAGCTTTAATTAAAGTTATGATATTAAATCTTAACTTAAAGGGTCCTATTAGTAGTATTATTGTAATCATAAAAAAAATAATATATGAAAAGAAACAAGAATTTTATTTTAAATCTATTCTTGTTAAGTATAAATAAATTTACTGTTTATTCTATCAATGAAGTAGAATAAAATTACATTATAAAATATGAGCTTAAGGTAGCTACTATTTGAATAAAATATACTTTTCTAGAGTAACAGTGACCCATAATAATTTAATATTTACATTAAATACCGGAAAGTATTAAATATCTCATTCGTTAAAACTGACTAAAGTTCTTAATAAAATTAGACCTAAATCTTATTTCAATTGTATTATAAAAACAAATTTATCCTTATAGGTTTATCAAAAAATTGGTTTTGTTTCCTGTTATAATTAGTTTTATTTATTTCATAAAATTATTAGTTTTTTTTGCTTCAAACGTTAAAAATAATAATGAGTATTATAGTTTTTTAAATAAATATTTTATTCCATGTACTATTCTAAAGTGTAATTATGATATTTAATTCATTTTTATAGGTAATTTATTTCAAAAAGTAAATTTTAAATAAAATTTATGAAATTGATTATTTATCACAATTTATATAATTTAATCATTTTAAATATTTGTCTAATTCAATATATATTTAAATTACAAATTATAATTGCAATTCTAATATTCAATTGCGATTATGATTATTTTAAATGTGCAATCACAATCAACAATCAATTTGTTTCCTTAAATTTTCATTATTATGTAATTATTATGTTATTATCATATTTGTATTACAGAATGATAATTTTGTTTGATTGATCTTAAATACAATTACTATTTTCCACAACATAATGAAAGATGTAGTCGTCTGTTTAAATGCAACTAAATAAGAATTTTAACACATTTTTTTATGATATATACAAATTTTACTTTAAATAATGCATGGAAATTCAAAAATAATAGTGATAGTAAAAATAAATCTCTCACAATATGTACAATTAATATAGTATTTTATTTTATTAATCCATAGTTTTCAAAATTATTGCAAAAGTTATAATTTATTAAAATCACTACATACGATTTTTTAAATTCTAATAAGGACTTATAATATGAACTAAACTACAATCTTAATATTATACTTTTTCTTCGGTAATTTATTTAAAAATTAAAAGTATATGTACTACATAAATAATAATTTAATGGTTATTTTTACTAATTAAAATTGAAAATAATATTATGTTACTATTATATCTAGTAGAACTGTATTCATCAGTCAATTACGATACGTATATATATAATATCTTCATCTAAATATATATAAAATAATATAAATGACCTTAAATAATTGTATTTACAATTATTTATTTTTAAACATACCGAAACTTCTGTATAGAATCAAATTAAAATTATAATTAATTACAATATAACAATTGAAGTTTTAATTTATATTATTTAATATTATATTTGTATTTATTCATTTATAAATTAAAAACAATTGATTATTGTATTGCTTGAAAATATTAATATATTAAAATCTCGTCCACATTTTTTATATACAAAACAATGTATTATCATATTATTTTAAAATAATTTTAATAAAGAATTATTAATTTATTATATTATTAAATTAAATATTTCATTCTTTTGCATTTAAAAATTTAAAGGATATGAAGATTTTTGTATTTTTGTATTTTTTAATTGTTATTACATTAAAATAGAAGGATGCTTTTTCAACAATGATTATATATGATCAAAATTACATTTTCGGAAAGAACATAAACGAATAATAAATAATGTCCATTCCACGAATGAAATAAATATATTACATAAGGCCTTTGGAATTATTAGCATAGAATATAATTCACATGATAAAGATTATCATATACATTAATATACTTTAAAAAATTTAAAGTTTATTAAAAGATATGCTAGATTTAATCATTTTGAAACATATTTGATCAAATTTACATAATTTATTATACATAACAATTAATTTGTTTTTACTCAAACTTTTATTTATTATTTTATTGCTGAATAAAAAGTGTCTATATTGTATAAATAATATACCACTTTATTGCTAAATTAGTTGGTATGATCTAAGATTTTAATCGCGATGTCATGGAATTTATATATAAAATTTTTTATGTATAAATAATAATTTATTTGAATGTAGTGAAAACACATTGGTTTAATTTCTTTATTTATCTGCTATAACCTTATTTTCATTTTATAATTATAATACACTCATCTACTTCCAAGATAAATAACGTATATTAAATACTTCTGTTAAATCCAAAATTTATGAAATTTATGAATTAGTAGTCTATCTTATTTTTAAAAAGGTATATTGAAGATGTTTATATGAACAAACTTATTATTTTTGTATCAGGAAATTCTTTGTGAACAAAGAAATTATTTTAAAGAAAATGTTTAGAAAGTATATACACTTTTTAGCAAATTATATTTCTTTCGATTGAAAACACAAATTGACGCAAGATTTAACTAACCACTCTCATAGTGGCATTTATAGAATCGTATTTTCGAATATTCGACAACATA